TACAACATGTAGCCTTTTCAGACTGACTTCTTTCACTTAGCAATATCCATTTAAGGTTCTCCATGTCTTTTTGTGGCTTAATAGTAACCCATTTCTTTTTAGTGCTGAATGATATTTCACTGTGTGGATATTTGTTTGGCATAAACAAATAAGTTTCTTAGAAGTACATACATAGCAAAACTAAAGAAAGGTAGGGGAATGCTAGACACAGAATTTAGCATAGTAGTTACTTCTTGGCGTGAAAGGGTGGTCAGAGAAGGACACAGAAGAGGCTTCCAGCAGTGTTGACAGTGTTCTCTCTTAAGCCTGGTGATGGATATGAGCCTTCAGTAATTTTTTCCCCCTATCTTTCATACGTAGAATAGATAGCCCTTTGTGTGAAATATATGACAATTTCAAAAAGTACTAGTGTTTGAATAAAACATCAACACATCACTTTCTTTTTTCACTGTAATACCTGATTGACAAAAAGTATAACGCAAGTATTTTGGAATCAAGGAACCAGTTGTATTTGAACAGTAAGATTTCATAGTGTCTTTCCATTGTTTTTAATCATCTTAGGGTTTCATGAAGTATCTGACAGCAAGGTCAGAACAACCTTATTAGACTAGTCAAATACTTCAGAAATCTACTTTATGCAGAGATTTTAGAACATTAAAAATGAAATTACTTGACTTTATTTTTGCATCACTGTAAATTTCCACATGACAAATTATTAGGAACTAAGGTTTTAGAAAATTAGTGTTTTAAAGAAATTGGTATTTTTTTCTTCCAGGTATTGCTATATCAGTGTAAGAAAACCTACCTTTGTTAAACCATTAATGTGTAAAGTACACCTTCCTTTAAAGTTTCATGATACAAACATTAGTTAACATGTTGATCTCTCTCATGCCAAAAAAGAAAAACCGCTGTTCTTGAATGTTGGTTATACTAAAAGATAAATTAATGTTAATCTTGACTCCAGTTTCTGAAAGTTACAATTCGTCGTTAAGCACAATTTTTATATTGAACTGGTGTATTTAAAAGTAAACTGAAGTGTCCCTTCTCTACTCTGGGAGAGTTTGTTGTAAGGTTGATGCTATTTCTTCCTTGAATGTTTGATAGAATTCACAGGTGAAGCAATGCAGGCCTGGAGTTTTCTTTATGGTATTTGATTAGGAATTCAGTTTCTCAGTATTATACTATTTAGATTTTCTAGATCTTTGTGTCAATTTTATATGTTGTGCTTTTCAAGGAATTTATTTTATCTAAATTGTTAAATATGGTGACAAAATTATTTATAATATCCTTTTAATATGTTTAGGATTGATCTGTAATGATGTTCCTTTTTCCCTTCCTAAGGTAATTTGTGTTTTCTGTCTTGATCAGTATTGTTAGGGGTTTATCAATTTTATTGATATCTTAAAATAACCTACTTTTTTTGACTGTTGATTTTCTCTATTGATCTCTATTACATTTTTTCTACTTTTCTTGTTATTTCTTTATACTTCCTTTGGGTTTAATTTGACCCTTTTCTAGTTTCTTAAGGTGTAAGTTTAGATCATTGAGTTTACACCTTTCTCTTCTAATAAAAACATTTACAGGTAATATTTTATCTTTTTTTTTTTTTAAGATTTTATTAGGTAATTGGGGAAGGGGAACAGTGTTGGGGAATTGGGGAAGGGGCACAGCCAAGTTGTTGTCCTTCAATCTTAGTTGTGGAGGGCGCAGCTAGCTTAGCTCTAAGTCCAGTCGCCACCCGGCCACCCGTTGGCAGCTCACAGCCGCTCAGCTCAAGGTGCCGTTGCGGGTGGGTGTAGCCCACCATCCCATGCAGGGGTCGAATCGGCAACCTTGTTAGGAGCACATGCTCTCACCAGCTTAGCCATCCTGCCACCTGTTGGCAGCTCAGCGGCAGCTCANACGCCCAAGGTGCTGTGTTCAATCTTAGTTGCGGGTGGGCGTAGCCACCACCCCATGCAGGAGTTGAATCAGCAGCCTTGTTGTTAAGAGCTCACGCTCTATCCACTGAGCCATCCGGGCGGCAGCTCAGCTCAAGGTGCCAAGATCAGTCTTAGTTGCAGGTGGGCGTAGCCCATCATCGAACAGGCAGTCTTGTTGTTACACCAGCTGAGCCATCCTGCCAACACCTGTTGGCAGCTCAG